ATTGTCTGGATACACTGTGCCACATTTTATGCCTCCAATTTCCTGTAGAAGGACATCTGGGTCACTTTCAGTTGTGGTTTTTTGTTTTGTTTTGCTATTACAAACAATGCTACAAAGAAAATTCTTCATCATGTCTTCTGATGCACCTGACAGGGTTACGTAGGTGCAGGGGTGACCTGCAGCCTGCAGGGCTTGTTTGTGGTGTATTTTTGCTCAATACAGCTCCAAAGTAGTTGTACCATTTTCCTTGTAGCTTGTAAGCTGGAGGAGGGTCTTCTGAGGGGCCACTGTTGAGCTTAGGAAAGGGGGCTCCAAAGTATTGACTACCTAGCAACCTTGAGACCAACCTCGAGAACAATATACCCTAAGGATAGTCATTTATATGGTAATTCACGGAGCAGTGCACCAACTCGATAGTTTATCTCCAGAGCTGAGCCTCTGAGGTTAGAAACACTTGCAGTTATTGACCAATGTCCCCAGAGAAAACTGGCCACCTCACTGACACCGGAGAACCAAGAACAATCGTGGCCATTTCACCCCATCTGCGAGACTTGGCATCTTTGCCAGAGCATGTGAGCTTGTGGGATTTTTAATGCGTGTCCTTCTCTGGCAGCAGAATCTAAATTTGTCAGCCTTGGATTCAAGGCCATGTGGTGTGACGGACTGGAGGCAGCTAGATCCTGGCTGTGGTCCGCCCCTCTCCCTGCTTGCTCTTCCTCCTTCTCTCTCTCTTGCCTTCTACTAATATTTATGTCCTTCCTTTTCATTTTTGATTGGGTAATACACTCAAAGAGCTGGACGTTCAACGTCTAAAACTCTATGAGGAAAAGTCTTGCTCCCACAACTCACCCCCAATAACCTGGTCCCTCTTATTGAAGGTCATCACTTTTATTATATATCCTTCTAGAATAGGGTTGGGGTGTGTGTGTGTGTGTGTGTGTGTGTGTGTGTGTGTGTGTATTTCTGACAGCATCTCGCTCTGCTGCCCAGGCTGGAATGCAGTGGTGCAATCACGCATCAATGCAGCTTGGAACTCCTGGGCTCTAGTCATCCTCTGGCTTCAACCTCCTGAGTAGCTGGGGCTGCAGGTGTGCACCACCAGACCTGGCTACTTTTTTATATTTTTTGTTTTGTTTTGTTTTTTTGTAGATATGAGGTTTTACCATGTTTCCCAGGCTGGTCTCAAACTCTTGGGCTCAAGTGATCCACCGGCCTCGGCCTACCAAAATGCCGGGACTACAGGCAGGAGCCACGGTGCCTGGCCAAGTTTTTTAATGTACAGGCAAATATGAATATACAGTCTTATTCAAGTCTCCTATTATAGAAAAGATAGCACACTATACACATGAATCTGCCATTGCCTTTTCTTATAAAGAGGTATCTTGGATGTCTAGTCCATATCATAATAATAAATATTTCATGATTCTTTTTTTGGGGTACAGAATCTCGCTCTGTTGCCCAGGCTGGAATGCAGTGGCACGATCTCAGCTCACTGCAACCTGCCTCCCAGGTTCAAGTGATTCTCCTGCCTCAGCCTCCCAGGTAGCTGGGATTACAGGTGCCCGCCACCATGCCTGGCTAATTTTTGTATTTTATTTTTTTAAATAGCTGTGTTAATATTCTACTGTATTCCACTAATATTTCTTACCCACTGTGTACCAATCTCTTTGCTGGGTGCTGGTGTCAAAATGATGACTCAAAACAGGTCCTGCCTTCAAGGAGACTACAGCCTAAGAGCAAACAGGCAAGCAGCCATGATGAAACATTGCAGGTGTTCCTCATTCCAAAAACAGGAAGGACCAGCTGCTTGACAAGTATTGCTCTGGGCAGAGGGGAGCTGAGGGAAAATAAAACCCATGAAAATCCCCGCCCTGCGGCACTTCTGTCCTAGCAGAGTTGGTGCTCTGGCACTGTGATGGGCCGGGGTGGGCACATGGCGGGTCTAGGGGTCAAAGAAAGCTACTTGGAGGAAATGGTGGAGTGAGAGATAATGAGGGTGGTGTTGGCAGGAATTGGTTGGATTTGAGCGGGAGGGAGAGGAAGCCTCAGTCCTGTCATCTAAAATGAGGTAAACGACCCCGCCCCGGGCTGCTCTGGGACTCTCTGCTACAGGCAAGGCTCAGGGCAGTGGTGCTGTGCCACACCCCCAGACCCATCACCCATCTCTTCATCTGCTCTCTTGTTGCCCTCACCTCACGCTGAGTCATGGTGTCCATACTCTAGCAGGGTCTCTGCCTTCCTGCCTTGTCAGCCCACTCCCCTCCTCCCTGTCACACACACACACCACATGCACACACCACATACCACACTGCACACCACACACACACCACACATGCACACGCCACATACCACACCACACACCACACCAAGTATACACACCACACCATGCATACACACCTCCTCACACCACACACCACATACACACATACTATGCCACACACATAACACACACCACATGCACACACCACATACCACATTGCACACTACGCACATGTACATACGACACCACGTATCACACACACACATCACACACCACAAATACACACACCCCTCACACCACACACCACATATACACACTACACCACACACAAAACACACATCTCATACCACACTGCACACCACACATACACACATACATCACATGCCACACCACAAACCACACACACACATCACACCACACCATGCACACACACCCCTTACACTGCACACCACACAGACACTACACTACACACACAACACACAGACCACATGCACACACCACATACCACACCACACACCACATACATGTCACACCATGTATACACACATCCCCCTCACACACGACACACACACTATGCCACACACACACTACACATGCACACATACTATGCCACACACACAACACACACCCATCACACTACACACCACACACATACTATACCACACACATAGACACACCACACCTATACACACCACATACCACGCCACACACCACACACACATCATACCACACATACACACACACCTCTGACACCACACACCATATACACACACTACACACATACCACACATATACATACCACATACCACACTGCACATCACCCACACACACCCACCACACATGCATATACCATATACCACACCCTACACCACACACACACATTACACCACAGATACCACACCCCCCCAAACACTAAACACACCACACATGCATACAACACATACCATGCAGGTGTGCACACATATACACACATACACACACATTCCATACACACATTACACCACACACACTACACAGGCACCACACACCACATACACACACATATTACACCACACATACCACACACACATTATACCACATACACACCGACACACCACACACACATTACACCACACATGCCACACACCACACACACCACATATTACACACATGCACATCTACCACACCACATACACACATACATACACGTCACACTATACCACACATGCACACATACATACACACAGCACACCACACACACCACACGTGCACATACCTCGACACCACACACACATCACACCACACACACCACACATACAGACACACACAGTACACCTACCTACACCCATCCACCCACACACTTATGCACAGACCCCACCCATACCACACCACATACAAACACACATCATACACACACATCACACACTGCAAACACACAGCATACTATACACACAGGACACATATTACACACACCACACACCATACACACACCACACACACATCAAAGACACACATATACTACCTACACACCACACCACACACACGCACATACACACCCCACGTACCACCCCCAGACATGTACACAATCTTGGTACAGGCCATTGCCCTCTGCAGGAGCTCAACTTTCAGCCTCGCCTGGCCAGTCCTCACAGCACCTTAGGGAGCCTCCAGGAGTGTGCACAGCCCACCGTCACGCTAGGCCTGCTATGTAGCTCTCAGCCAGTCTGGTGTCACTGCCCGTGTGGATGACTGTGGCTGGTGGCCAGGGCAGGCCACCAAATGCACAGTGAGGGTTGGGGACCTCTGTTGAGTGGGAGCAAGTGGCAGGAACAGTCAGCATTTCCCCCAAATCCCCGTGGGAGATTTGGCACCCACCCTGGCCTAGCCCACGTTTATCTGGTGATAAGATTTAGTTTTATTTTTTCCCAAGCCCCAAGGGCACGTGCCACCCAGAGCCCTGGTCTGGATTCCCTCTGCTCTTCAGTGGCTGCCTGGAGCTGCACTTCGCAGTGGGGCTGTGCTGGGCATGGGGTGGTCTTATGCATCCTGGCCCTATTCTTCACAGGGATGGTAACGAAGGGCCCCAGAAGTGCTGCCTGTACACCCCCATCCAGGCTCCCGTGGGTGCCACTTGTCCCGGCCAGAAGTCACAGCCCCCAGATGCTGCCTCCCTCTGCCAATCCCTGTACCTGCTAGGGTGGCGTGGAAGGAGGGTGGGGTGGTGCACAGGGAGGGCCTCTATGTGGCCCTGATGCTGACTCAGTTCCCTCTGCCTTGGGGATGGGCCGAGGTGTCCCCTAGTTGTGACAGAATGGATGCTGTGGGTTCTCAGTCTCTGCAATCCCCACCCTACATTTGGAACATTCCGTCCTGGCTCCTGACTCTGAAGAAGGTGAAAAATGTGTGGTTTGGGCCTCGCATTGGATCTCAGCATGACTCTGGCTCCTGCAGACTCTGAATCTTTTCCATTCTAGCTGTAGAGTGTCTGAACTCATTGTTTGCTAAGGACTGATTTCATAAATGAGTGACCTGCCCTCAGCGGGGCCCATCCTTGACCGAAGGCTCTGCTGCTGCTGTCTGGAAACTCTTAAGAATGTCTGAACAGCGTGTCCACTTTGCGCTGGGCCCTGTACATTTCGCAGCCAGTCCCAGTTCCCCCTTAGTTGTCTGCCCTTTAGCATCCTTTTCATGTCAAACCATGTAGATTGTTTTTAAAAACATAAAAATCTGAGTAGCACAAGAAATCAAGGAAGACCACGTCTTATTTGTTGTGCACCTTTAGAAATGCTCCACGTGTCACTGCGGTGCACTGGCTGCAGCGTACACACCGCACGTGACAGTCCACACTGCCTGACTCCCAGGACAACCCATGTGATGTGCAAAGTGCCATTCCCATGGGGCGCATCATTTTTCCCCGGGAGCTTGAAGGACACAGATAGAGCTGTGCTCTAGGCTGCCCGCGCCCCGCCCCGCCGTTCCCAAGCTGGCTCCATGCTGGTGTCCAGAATGAGCCAGTTCACACTCCAGAGCCAGACGGGGGGAGAATTGGCTCCCAACCCCCACTGTGGGTCTCTCCCTGACCCCTACATGTATCTTCCAAGTCACAGGCGAACAACCCCTGCTCTGCTTGGAACTCAGGGAAGGATACTTCTGGGTAGACAGAAAGATTCTGTGGTGGGCATGGACTTGGCCACTGAAGGCCCCGAGAGGACATCTTGTCCACCCTCTCCAGGATGGGCCCTGTCTGTGCTGCCTGGAGCCAGAAGAAAAAGATGACAGCCTTAGAATCGGCAGGGATGGAGACTTCATCAGCTCTCCCGCATCTCATTCCAGGATTTCTTACCTGAGTCACGTTTGTGGAAATTTTTGCTCATTTCTTACTAGGTTTAAGGAATTGGAATTCTTTGTCTCACAAATCCCAAAGGGCTGAACATGCCCCAAGCCCGTGAACAAGCTTTGAGCATCTGAAGGACAAAAACACAGCTCGCAAGTGTTCACGAGCAGCCAGGCTGAGAAGGAGCACTGCTGCCCTCTGGTGGTCAGACCGCAGAGCATCAAGGAGCCGCCCAAGGGCGCTAGGTCCCCCCTTTGCTTTGTCTCTGGGACAACAGCTTTGTCAATGAAGGTCCTTTCACTGCTCCTGGAAAATGGCAAGTTTGTTCTTGCCTCAGGGCCTTGGGCCTTGATGCTCCCTCTCCCTGGAAGGTTCTTTCTCCAGCTCTCAGATGGCAGCTGCCTTCTCATGCTCTGGCCCTCAGACCAAATGCCACCTCCTCAGGGAAGCCCTCCTGGACCACCTGTTTCCCTTTGTTCTTAGCACTTACCTGCTATTTGGAAATCTCTGTCTAGAGTCTGTGTCCATTTCCTCTCTCCCTCACCAGACGTGGCTCCAGGAGAGCAGGGTCCCTGTCAGTTTTGGTTGTCACTGGACCTCAATGGATTGTACACAGTAGATATGCAACAATTCTTGTGGAGTAAATAAATAAATGCATATTGACAACATCAACTAGATTTAAGCACAGCTTCTGGTCCTCAAAACCCCATATCACACTGTGATACAGGGAAGGCATATAGCGCCCCCATAGGACAGATGAACACATGGAGACCCAGAGGTTTATGTGAGTTGCTGAGCACCCAGCAGGGACGAATGAGCCAGGGTCCCTCGTGGTTTCTCCTGTGCTCCATCAGTCCTCTACCTTGGAGGGAGGAGAGGGGGTCTCAGGCACATGAGCTCCTGGGAGGAGCTGAGATGAACCCGGCACGTGGGGTCCAGCCGTTTACTCCGTAGCCTGCTGGTTGAGGGAGGCTGAGCCATGCCACCAGTGGACAGGGTGTGAGGTGGGAGGGGGTGAGGAAGGTCTGTCCATAGGATGTAACCAGACTCTAGTCAGTGGCCGGTCGGTCTCGGAGCTGTGCGTTCTGGAGCGGGAGTGTGTCGGGGGAGGACGGGCAGCGGGAAAGCTGGAGCCCCTGCGGAAACTGCGACTTCCCCAGGGCCGGGGTTTGGCTGTGACATTCTGAGCTTCATCCGGAGGCTCTCACTGTCCTCAGCCTAAGGCAGGGGCTGCCCTCTGACTCTGGGCCCAGCACGGGGGTCAAGGGCTCTACTACGGAGCCTGGGTCCCCTGCGCTGTGCTTGGCCAGGCAGTGGGCCTGAAGGGGGATGGTCATCTGTCCTCAAGCCTGGGGTGACCAGGCCCGGGGCGGGCTCTGTTTCTGGGCACCCAGAGGAGGCGTCCGGAGGTCAGCAGCATCGGCTCCTTGACGGGTCTGGCGAGAGCTTGATGGATTCTGTGAGGTGATTCTCTAAGATGCTCTGGTACTGGGGAAGGAAAGAGAGGCCAGCATTCACGTCCTGAGATGCAGAGAGCACCGCCACCCTTCATTTCTTAATGGCCCTCAGAGCCCAGGTGCCAGTTTCCATCCCACTGTACTTCTGGGAAACTGAGGCCCGGACGGGGAAGCCACTGGTGTTCCCCAGCCTCCTTCTTCCCTGCGTCTCCCCTCCAGCCTCTTCCCAGGAGCCCAGAGCAGGTCAGTGTCTGAATTAGCAGCGCGGGTCTCCTGACCTCCAGCTGAGTCCTGTAACTTTCTATTCTCCAGAGGGGACAGCTGAGGTGTCATTTGGGCTCTGGCAGAGAGGTGGAGGCCACTCCTCATTTCTCCTGGAGACCTCTTCCCGCAAGCATCCCAGTGCCCCCAACCTCCTCCGCATCCTGTTCACCTCCCAGCCTCCCCTGCTCGTGCCTGGAAAAGCCAGTGGACCCTCTGTCCTGGCGGCGTCCAGGGAGCCCTCCCTACAATGGACGCCGTGTTTCTCCTGGGACCCTTTGCTTCTCCAGCCTCTCTTGTGCCAGCAAGGGTCCAGAGGAAGCCCCTTCTCAGTCTGCCAAGCCTCTGCCCTCCCAGCCGGCTCTGCTTGTCACCAAGAGCCTTCCCCAACCAGTTCAGGGGTTCAGGGGTTGGGGTGGTCGGCGGGTAGGGGCCCTTCTTTAAGCAGACGGGTCCTCAGGCGGAAAGGTTGCTTTTTCAAGGGATGCCATCTCTTCACGCGGCTCTGGCCTCCGCTAGTCCCTGAGCTCAGTCGCGGTCATGTTCCTCCCTCGGTCCTGTGGGCCTCAGAGTGAGTGAAGAGCATTCACTCTGTGTAAGGGGTTTGCGTTACACTGGCGTGGACCTGAGCAGAGGCGGAGCCTCCTGGGTGTCACGTAAAACTGTCCCCGGCAGCCCATCTCTAGCGTCTTTCTCGGGAGCAACTTCTGGGGACAGGGGTGCGGCCTCTCCTCTCTGATTTTAGCTCCCTCAGCTCCCAGGCTCCGGCCAGACGCCCAGCTGGTGAATATCCCCAGACCCTCAGTGCTCGTGACCCTGGAGCTCACGAGGTGGTGTCCAGCCCTGCCTCCTGCACCCTGATGATGGTGGTCCCTCAGATGCACGAGAAGATCCCCCTACACCCATCACTCACTGCCACCTCCAGACTGAGCAGTAATTTACCCGATGGCACAGAGCTTGTGGTGCTGAACCTGGGGTTCAGCCTTTCCTCACGGGGCTGGTTTCTTGGGGATCCCCCATCTCTCACCCCCACCCTGGTAGGATCTTGGGACCAGCAGAGGGAGCGCCGTCTGGGGCAGGGGTGAGGAACGTCCTCGTTTGTTGCCTGGGCAAAGCCTGAGGTTTTCATGGCAGCGTTGCCCTGGTAACATCCGCACCCTCCCCAGGTCCAAGTCAGCGCTGAGCTCTTTCCACTCACGACATCATTTTCACTCGATAATGTGGCAGCGTCTTGTTCCTCAGATTTCCCGAAAACCTCCAGGCCATAATTAGGTTTCCATGTCATTCAGAGCTCCAGGCCCCAGGCCTCCTGACATCTTGTGTATCTAACTGTACAAGTAATTCCTGCTTGCAGCATTTCAGTAGGGGTGTGACTGTGGGGTTCTGTCCCCGTCCCCCCAGTCCGGCCACCTTGGTGACCCTGTCCTCCCTTTCCCCTCCCCTTGCCTCTCCCCTTTCCCTCCCTTTCCTCTTCCACCTTACCTTCTCCTCTTTCCCCTTCCCCCTCCTTCCCCTCCCCCCTTCCCTCCTTCCCCTCCCCCCTCCCTTGCCCTTTCCTCCTTTCTTTCACAAGGTCTCACTCCTGTGGCCCAGGCTGGATGCAGTGGCACAATCATGGCTCACCATGGCCTGACTTCCCCGGGCTCAGGTGATTCTCCCATCTCAGCCTCCCAAAGTGGCTGGAAATATAGGCATGAGCCACCACGCCCGGCTAGTTTTTATATTTTTAGTAGAGATGGGGTTTCAACATGTTGCCCAGGCTGGTCTCGAACTCATGGGCTCAAGCAATCCATCTGCCTCAGCAGATGTAATCCCAAAACGCTGGGATTACAGGTGGGAACCACCATGCCAGCCAGCATTGCTAACTTTCTAAGAGCAAAACCTCACCACCCCATATCTCCCAAAGCTGGTGGGTATCTCTTCTTCAATTTTTCGGGCATCCTTGGTCATATTTTGGAAAAACTAAACACCCTAACCCTTGAATGTGGCTAAATTGATTACTAAAGTAACCTACCTACCGTCTTTCCTTTCAGAATGTTAACTGAGCAACTACTCTGTTCTCTCAACAGGTGCCTCACACATTGCTCATTTGACTACAAGGCTCACTTGCAGAACTCAGACGTTTCCACCTGGCGTCTCAAGGAACTTGAATGCGGTGTGCTCACGTGGACCTCATTACCCCTTTCTCGCATGAAGCCCCAGCTTTCTCCTGTGTTCCCTGTCTTGCTTGGCTCATGGAATCCCTAACTAATCTGCTGTCCCTTCATTTGCCAAGCTAGAATCCTGGCCACCCCCAAAACTGCTCCTGTTCCTTTCTCCCTGCATTTGATCATCATCGACCCCTGATGTTTCTACCTCCAAAGTCTCTTTAATCCACCCCATCTCGCCAGCTCTGTCCTCTCACAGCGGGGCCCCTGCGGTAGCCTCTTCATCACCACCCACGGCGCCCATCCCTCAGCAGCACGAAGCTCCCCCGCTGAAAACCCTATTACGCAGCTCCATTTGAAAACTCATAGTACACACACACGCACGCACACACACACGCACACACACGCACGCACACACACACGCACACACGCATGCATACACACACACACACACACAGGCACACACACACACACACACACACACACACACACACACACACATTTATATTTTTGAGGCAGAGTTTCACTCTTGTTGCCTGGGCTGGAATGCAATGGCACAGTCTCAACTCACTGCAACCTCCACTTCCTGGGTTCAGGCAATTCTCCTGTCTCAGCCTCCCGAGTAGCTGGGTTTACAAGCATATGCCACCACGCCCAGCTAATTTTGTATTTTTAGTAGAGATGGGGTTTCTCCATGACGGTCAGGCTGGTCTCGAGCTCCCGATCTCAGGGGATCTGCCCACCTTGGCCTCCCAAAGTTCTGGGATTACAGATGTGAGCCACCACACCCGGCCTACAATAATATTTTATTTAACCCTCACAATAACCTCATGGGGAATACATTATTATTTGTGCTTTAAAGCTGGGTAAGTGGTGGCTTAGGGAGGCCACATGACTTGCTCAAGGACACAGTGAGAGGTAGAGCTGGGTATAAGCCCAGATCCTTCCAACTTCAGAGCCCCTGCTCTTTCCACCCGAATCGGGGACTCACTTCTTATTGTAGAAGGACCTCCCACATCTTCCTCTCAAAAGGAAGGGAAGTTCCTTATAGGAAACGCCTTTGAAAACTTTTCTGTGACCTCAAAATATATATTTGTAAACTTGTTTCATCTTAAGAATTGATGTGAATTTTACGTTCTATGCCCTAGTTAAATGTGTTTGTTTTCATGTGAAAATGTTTCTCCTCCAAATTTCTAAGTAACAAAGACATTGCAGAAAGTCGTGCCCTGTTGGGTTTCAAGGTCCTGGGTGAGCTCCCGAGTGCCCTGGGTGGCCTGGCAGTGCCATCTGGAAGGCATGGGCCTGTGGAATGACATCGGAACCCCTGATCGGGGTTCACAGCCTCTGTGGCCTCGCTGGCTTCATCACTGTGTCCCGTGCCCTGACATTCCTCCAGACCAGGTTCCTTCTTGCCAACAAGACCTACAGTAGGGCCGGGCGCGGTGGCTCACGCCTATAATCCCAGCACTTTGGGAGGCTGAGGCAGGTGGATCACGAGGTCAAGAGATGGAGATCATCCTGGCCAACATGGTGAAACCCCGTTTCTGCTAAAAATACAAAAATTAGCTGGGTGTGGTGGCGTGCGCCTGGGGTCCCATCTACTCGGGAGACTGAGGCAGAAGAATGGCTTGAACCCAGGAGGTGGAGGTTGCAGTGAGCCGAGATTGCGCCACTGCACTCCAGCCTGGCGACAGAGCAAGACTCCGTCTCAAAAAAAAAAAAAAAAAAAAAAAAAAAAAAAAAAAAAAAAGACCTACAGTAGATTTCCCCTGTAAGCTCCATGCCAGTGTCTCTGGCCTTGGCCTTCTGTCTGCTCTTCCTTCCCTCCTGCTTACACCCAGGATGGCCCCCCGTCTCTACCTGCAAACTGTGAATTGCCTTCAAAACTTTCTGGCATGCCACTTCTCCAAGCAGGCATCCTCACTCACCCTAGCCACCAGCTGCCTGGGAGTCACCTTGTCACCTTAATGATACCCCCAACAGAACTCATCTCAGTCTGGGACAGTCATTTGTGGATGTCTTACTCTACTGACCTCAGGTGCACTGACGGTTCTATCTCCAGCTGTAGCCTGACAACTCAATGGATGTTGAAGGACTCAAATTATTTTCTTTTTTCTTTTTTTGAGATGGAGGTTCGCTCTTGTTGCCCAGGCTGGAGTGCAATGGCGCTATCTGGGCTCACTGCAACCTCCACCTCCCAAGTTCAGGTGATTCTCCTGCCTCAGCTTCCCTAGTAGCTGGAACTACAGGCATGCACCACCATGCCAGGCAAATTTTGTATTTTTAGTAGAGATGGGGTTGCTCCATGTTGGTCAGGCTGTTCTGTTCTCGAGTTCCCAGCCTCAGGTGATCTGCCTGCCTCGGCCTCCCAAAGTGCTGGGATTACAAGCGTGAGCCACCATGTCCGGCCATTGTTTTCTTTTTATAGAGAGGAAATGGAGACTCAGAATAGTCATATGTCTTGCCCAAGGGGGCCGCTTGAGAGAACCAGCGCGGGATTCAAATCCAGGCCAGTCTGGCTGCAGATACCACACCTGTGACTTCCAGACTTCTGCTCAGGGTGCATGCCCCAGAAACGTGGGGGACTGACATGGGATTGTACCCATTTATTCTTTTGCCAAGAAAGGGCGTTAGAAAAAAAACAAGCAGACAAGCCACTGTCTACTAACAGCACCACGTCATAGCAGTGACACCATCGGAAGGACCTAATTTAACCACAATACAGTAGGAAGGACATCATTTGAAGAATAAAGGACACGCCTTCCCCAGATGGGACAGGTGGTAACCACACACAGACTCGGGCTGTGGGCTGACAGACGCTTCCTGGTGAGCAAGCATGTGGCAGTCACCGCACTGTGCTTGTGGAGGATTGCTGATCAATGTCACCACCAAGGTCACACAGCATTCCTCAGCACTCCGGGAGGCGGCAAGAGCAGGCACTCCTGAGCTTCAGGAGCCGACTGCACCGCCCATGAGATAAAGCCACACTTCCTGACCGAGCACTCAGAGATGGACACCTCACTGCTTTCCCTTTCCCAGGACGAAGAGACTGGAGGGGAAGCAGAATAACAACCCAAAGGGGTGGTAGGGGGACGGGACACCCTAAGATCAGGGCTCGGAGGCCTGAGGATGCCGAGCTGGGCTCTTCTTCCTGGACAGCCGCCAGAGGTCGCTGCTGCCTCTCTCTGTCTGGGACAACCCCTCACGGGGCCTGGAGCGCTTCTCTCCAGAGCAGCTCAGAGGGCATCCCGTGACGGCAGCAGGTGCCTCCACCTAGGGAAAGCCTCCAGCCTCCCACCCTCATTTGCCCATTTCCTCAATTCAGAACCATTGCTTCAATGACCCTCTCCCCTCTCCTAAGAAGCCCACCTTGATTAGATGTGGCAGAATGATGACACAAGCTGAGCCCCTCCCCATGCCAACCCCAAGGCTTCCAAACTCCACATCAGGCTGACGTTAAAACCATGCCACCCCACCGCTTCCAGGCAGCCTTCCGTGATCTTCCCCACCTCATTCCTCCTTCCCTCTCCCTCCTCCCCGCTCCCTCCCCTGCCCTGCGGCATGAGCTGTCCGTGAGCCCTCCACCAAGCCCTGTCCCACCAAACCACACGGTATTGCGATCTCTTAGGGGCCTATCTGCCTTCCTCTTGAGACAGAGGGTCCCGAGGCCTGTATGGTGCCTGCCTCACACTCAACACATTCTTGCCAAACCTTCATACTGAGGGGTCTACGTCTATTTATCTGGTTTTTTTTTGTTGTTGTTGTTGTTGTTTTCGTTTGTTTTTTTGAGAGGGAGTCTCGCTCTGTCGCCCAGGCTGGAGGACAATGATGTGATCTCAGCTCACTGCAACCTCTGCCTCCTGTGTTCAAGCGATTCTCCTGCCTCAACCTCCCGAGTAGCTGGGATTACAGGCACGCACCTCTGTGCCCAGCTGATTTTTTTTTTTTTTTGTATTTTAGTAGAGACGGGATTTCACCGTGTTGCCCAGGCTGGTCTCAAACTCCTGAGCTCAGGCAATCCACCTGTCTCAGCCTTTCAAAGTGCTACAATGACAGGCGTGAGCCACCGCAGCCAGCTCTATTTATCTTTTTGATTGGAAGATGTCAGCCAGTCCTGCAGGTTTGATATTTCACTTGGGTGAATATCTGGCACCTCCTGCCAATGAGGATTCGACCAGATCATCACTTCTCAAGCCCTTCCTCAGTTAGAACCTCCAGGCCTGAGATAGAGGACTGGAATTTTTTAGATACTCCACACAGGATTTGGATAGTTAGCTGGATTGACAGACTGCTGACGGCGTGCTCTAAGGTCGCTTTCTACCTCTGGCATTCTCTGGTTCTAGAACTGGAGTGCTGTTGAACCCATTCCGTAACTAACTAGCTAAGACGGTGAGCGATCCCGTCCCACCCGCGTCCCTGTCCGTTCCAAGATGTTCTGCTCTGGAAGCTCCTGAGACCCTCCCCAGGCCAGGGGCCACCTCAGCCACTCACCCTCGTCAGAGCCCGACTGGCCAGCATCTCAAAGGCCTGCACCACATTGATATCATTCTTGGCACTGACTTCAAAGTAAGGAATATCTTTCTCTCTACACCAGCCTTGCGCTACTTCCTGGGGTACCTGAATGAGGGGAAAAAATAATCATGGTTCCTGTATTATCATCATCACCATTGCCACCGGCACCACATTATGTCATTGCACCGTCACATCCCCACCGTCCCCACCATGCCCCCACCACTCCCATGATTGAGAACCTTCCAAGTGTCTATACCTTTACATATCAGTGTAGGAGGTGGGGATTGTTAGCTCCATTTCACAGATGAAAAAACGGAGGCCTGGAGAAAACACATCTTGCTCAGAGCATATGAGGCTGAGCAGGATTTGAACACAGGCCTGGCAGAATTAGAGCCCACTGCACGTTGCTGCCTTCCTAAGGCCTCAACTAAGAGCATCTTCTGCCATTGCCTCCTTTGTCAGTCCCTTCAAAGGGAGCTTCACATGAGAGATGCCAGCCGGGAAGGACAGGAAGGGAGGACTTTCTCCCCCAGGCCAGCTAGGCAAGCTCACACTCAGGAGGCCTGTTGCTGGGCAGAGACTCAGGTCTCAGCTGGCACTGCTTCCCCAGGGTAGGGTCCCAGGAACAAGTAATAAGCTCCTACTATGGGCCAGGCACCGTGTTAGTGACTTTATCACATACGAACTCATCTCATCCTCTCTGTAACCCTGTGACATGGGCGTTATCAGTTCTGCTTTATAGACAAGAACACTGAGGCTCAGAGAGTTTCAGCAACTTACCCCAGATCACACAGCTGAGAGAAGGCAGAGCTTGAATGCAGCACCGGCTCAGCGCTCCCCTGGCATCTGAGCTGCCCTCTACAGGGCACTGCATAAGAGCCATGCCTCACCTTTTCTGCCTCCTCTGGGAGCTCAGGGTCAGGAGCTCAGCTCTTGGCCTGGCACACAGGAGCCACTAGGCACAGACTGAATGACTCTCTCTTCACCCACGTGCAAACGGCTGTTCAATCTGTAATGTTGGCTTGGAGATGCTTTGGAAGCCCTTTGGGTTACTTCCAAAGACAATTGGTCCCCACTGAGTTTGATGTCTAATGATTTTGGGGAGGGGAAATGACCACATTTGCTGAGCCTGGTACTTTACAATCATGATTTCAGTTTATTCGGGGCAGCCAAGGTCTCTCTCATGGAGAAAGAGCCCTTCCACCCTCTCCCAGACCACAGTGCCGGCAGAGGCAGATCAAACCCTGCCCCTGTTTCAATGGCCTCTGTGGCTCCTGCAGGTTCTGGGAATGTCTGTCTCACTGGGATAAAAAGTTCCAGCTGATCTCAGCTGACCCTTTCCTCTGACTAATCATGACCAGATCTACCCAAGCCAAGCGCCCGGCCATGGCAGACTTTGGATCTCATTTCTGCCTGCTCTCCGTTTGGTTTGGAATGATTGCATACAGGCTCCGAAATATCATTGTGATTATGTTGCAAATCAACATTCTTTTTCTATCTCCTGGTCCTCCCGCACCCCAACCTCAGAAAGCTGGCCTGGGAAGAAAGCTGCCCACACAGGAGTTTCCACTTTTCTTTTCCAATCCCAGAGACCGTTTCACGATTTTAAAAATCGTCTCATCTTTTATTTATAAAATGAAAGTTATTTAGAATTTAGGCTCTGACTGAAAATACGCTCAGGGTGTGGCACTTGGAGACACGGGAAGCATGACAATTCTGAATGTATTACTTGCACTCATATATATATAAATTTTTTTTTTTGAGACAGTGCCTTGCTCTGTCTCCCAGGCTGGAGTGCAGTGGTGTGATCTTGGCTCATTGCAGCCTTTCTCTACCATGTTCAAGCAATCCTCCCACCTCAGCCTCCCAAGTAGCTCAGAGTTCAGGTGTGTCACCACACTTGGCTAATTAAAAAAATGTTTTGTTTTGTTTTGTTTTGTTTGTGGAGATGGGGTCTTGATATGTTGCACAGGATGGTCTCGAACTTCTGGGCTCGAGTTATCCCCCAGCTTTGATCTCCTAAAGTGTTGGGATTACAGGCATGAGCCACTGGGCCAGGCTGCAGTGTATTTTTAAATTCTCATTGTCTTCTTAGTAAGTAGGAGAAGCTGCTGTATCTTCCCAGCTGTCCCTTGGAGATAATAAGGAGGATCACTTCCTGGTTCCATTATTTCCATCATGGAAATCTCATCCTTCCTGTTATTACTCAGTCTCAGGAAGTGTGATCTCCACCCCACAGAGGAGAAAACCGGTCTGGGCCATATGGACCAGGTGGGTGGGTGTGAGCCTGGGTCTTGGGACAGGCTCGAGGAGAAGGAGGCCCATGAGAACATGTGTCTTGGCTCCCCTTCTCCATTCCATATCCAGCCAGCGACAGGCAGAGCCCTTGCCAGGTCTGTGCAGAGTAAGGACACTTAACGCCCGGCACCCCCAGTCTCCCCTCTTGGGGCTTTATAATCCCAGGTCTCAGAATTAAAGTCCTTCTGCTCTCTCCCACCACCTCCTCCTCTCCACTAACCCCTCCTGATTTCACTGTCACTCAGTGCCTCCTGCCCTCCCCGTCCTACCCCACCTCCCTACAAACTCCTTCCCTGGGCCTGCCTTGTTGAGAGACAGGCTCCCTCTCCTCCACCCCCTCCTCCCCCCCTCCTCCACCCCCTCCTCCATCCTCTCCTCCACCCTCTCCTCCACCCTCTCCTCCCCCTCCTCCATTCCCTCCTCCATCCATCCTTTTCCCCTCCTCCATCCTCTCCCCCCACTCCTCCATCCTCTCCCCCCACTCCTCCATCCTCTCCCCCACTCCTCCATCCTCTCCCCCCACTCCTCCATCCTCTCCCCCCACTCCTCCATCCTCTCCCCCCACTCCTCCATCCTCTCCCCCCACTCCTCCATCCTCTCCCCCCACTCCTCCATCCTCTCCCCCCACTCCTCCATCCTCTCCCCCCACTCCTCCATCCTCTCCCCCACTCCTCCATCCTCTCCCCCCACTCCTCCATCCTCTCCCCCCACTCCTCCATCCTCTCCCCCACTCCTCCATCCTCTCCCCCCACTCCTCCATCCTCTCCCCCACTCCTCCATCCTCTCCCCCCACTCCTCCATCCTCTCCCCCCACTCCTCCATCCTCTCCCCCCACTCCTCCATCCTCTCCCCCCTCTCCTCCATCCTCTCCTCCATCCATCCTCTCCTCCCTGTCTGGTTGAACCCTGGCTTTTCTTAGGGTCAGGCTTCCCCAGTGCCCCCTCTTGCCCTCCCCACTGGGGCTATTTGCAGACTCTGCTCACCACACATCCCAGAGAGGGGGCTGGCTTGCCTGGTGCCTCACTGCCTCTTTCAAACCTTCATTCTTTCTCTCTCTGAACACCAGAGCTCACCCACCCTGAGGCTTGGATTGGACCCCTCTACCCCTGTCAGCCACCACCCACCCTTCTCATCTTGCCAGATGCCTCTCCTTTGCTAAGCACTTGCCGTCTGGTGAGGCTTTCTAACCCCTCACCACACAGCCGCCGCCTCTCACGCTAGCCTCAGAAATCTTTTGCTGCTCACAGTCTCTCCATGTCAGCCTCTGTAAAATATGACGCTTGGCCTCCTGTGCCCTGATCTCCTTCCCCTCAACCCCCTCGGGCCCTCCCTCCTGCTGCCCTGCCCCCAGCCTCTGCCGCCCCAGCCCTGGCCCTTCAGCCTTGCCCAGTCCCTCCTCCTTCACAGTTTCTCGGTGTCCTCACAGCTCTGTCCTTCAGCTGCTCTTGGTTGGAAAAGCCTTAGTCCAAGTTCCTTGCTCCTGGCTTGGACCCCACACAGACCCCACCCCACGCTCATGGTCTCCTCCTTCAGTGGAGTCCTTGGTGTCGCCCGTCGGCTCTTGTCCTTGTCCCCAAGTAGCTCCTCGCCAGAATAACTGGCAAAGCTGCCTCACGGTTCGTAAGCCTCATGTTGGTTTCCTCCCTCTCGATAGAAGAAGGCACCTCTTATTTCACTGATTCTGCCTTGAGCTCCCCCAGCTTCCCTCCCCACACCCTGCAGAATGAAACAAGATGGAAGTTAAAATGAACGTTTTGGCAGAGGTACAACAATCGGACAGATGTCAGATATAAAGTGGGTGGAGACAGTCCCCCTTGGGTACACATTGCCGAAGTCTCATGGCGAAGACTCTCTTGGATGACTCTAAATTCCACAGCACGGACATAAAAGCTTGATAATGAGGATTAGGAGGGACTTCCTTGGAGAGAGTTGTGTTGTGGGTACAGCAACCCCTGCCTCTCCCAAGAAGGGGAGCAGAGAAGGCCTCACATCTAGCTAAAAGAGGGTGTTGAGGTGTCACTGTCGCATGACCCCTGGAGTTTGGGGGACATGGTGGACAGGTGTCTGACACACACCTGAGGTACCTGAGGCAAGAGACAATGGAGCAGAGGAGAAGAGGCTGCACTGGGCACTGGTTACCCTCCCCCCTAAGTGGAGCCAGAATGCAAGTGTGCCTTGTGAAGGACAGATGATTCAGCAGAGAGAGAGCCAGGCTGGGACAGGCTAATCCCACTTAGAAGACTGCTTGGAGGGAAAGGTGACCCCCATGGGGTGGGAATGCTGAAAGTTAGGGGTGGAGGAGGGGAATGCAAGGGCCTGGGCATGAGAGGTACAGTGAAATGTTCCGAGGGGGGCTTCCTAAGGACCCACAGGAGTGACCGACAGAAGAGAGAGCTTGCAACCTGCCAGGCCCAGAGAACGCAAGGCTGTCCATGACAGCACCAGTCAAACAAGGACTGCCCTGTTCTCCCGACCTCTTCTCCTTCTTCCTCCTTCACTCCTGACAGGGTCTGAAACCAGAACTACCACTCCAGATAAGAGGAGGAAGTGTGGACATCAAGGTTGGCAGTGAGATTCTAAGGACCTACTCCCTCTCTTAGACCACAAGGTTCTCACCCACAGCTGGTCCCAGTGGGGGAAGAAACGGAGGCTCCTTGTCCTTGAAGGAGCTTAGGGCGCTACTTATTATCTGAGGCTGGATATTTGTAATTAGGGAATTGACACAGAGTTTACAACCCGAAGTGACCGCAGACCTGACAACTCCTAGATTTATCTATTTCCAGCACAGACTTCTTTGAAATTTCATTCTTGTGCATCCAAAGCCTGCTAGTCATTTCCAACTAGTTCTACAAGTTCCTCAAACTCGGCCTGTCCAAACCGAAAACGTTTGTTTCTCTTTGAGCCAGAGGCTTTCCTTTCTGTAGATCACAGCTTAGTCGGAAGCACCATCGCTCCCTCCCTCTCTCCACCCATAAACACACTTCATCATGCCACATGATGCTTCATTTCTATTGCTGTCTCTATTTGAACCATGGTGAAAGTGTAGTTTAGACATGATGATCCAGTTCCCCGTCACTTTTCTGTATTTGAAACACTAAAAAGAGAAACGTGGTTCAAACAGCTCTTTCTGGTGGTGTCTGGACTTTTGACCCAAGATCACCCTTTACAAATTAAGTTTACCTATATTCTTTCCTCATTAGTAGGTGAGGATTAAAAGTGCTGTCTTCTCAATGGCCTTGTGAGGGTAAACACCTACACACGCAGGGTCCCTGTCGGGCGGGTAACCCAATGGTCTGGAATATGCTTAAGCTAATAAAAAAAATGTTACTTCCCCAGAAAACTTGTATATCCAAGAATTTATAACTGTAGACTCCCAATGTGACCCGATGCTACAGGTTAGTTCAAATTCCACTGAGACCTGCCTCTGATGCGCTGACGCCTCTGTTCCCTGTCTCTGGACAAAATCGCCTTCTGTTCTCAACTGATACCATGCTGTTTATTCAGCCCAGAACCCAACTCTTCCAGGAGACCTGTCCTGTATTCTAGGCTTGGGTAGATGCTCCTTTACTGTAGTCTCTAAATACCCAAGGTATAGCTCTGTTATTTCGTTTACCGTATCATGTCATAATTATCTTTTTATTTTATTTTATTTTATAATTATCTTTTAAAGTATCTGTATTCACTACTGGACTCGAAATTCCTGAAGTTAAGGACTATGCCTGATTCAACTCTGTATGTGTGGGACCTAATGCAGTGCCTGGCGCATGGTAGGTGCTCACATCATGTTTGTTGAATGAATAAATGAATGAACAGTACCTTGCGGTCTGCCAGATCGATTTTGTTCCCCAGCAACACCATGGGGTAGGACTGCTCCATGGGGACAATCTTGGCCAGAACGTCACCCCGCCAGATATCCAGGGCTTCAAAAGACTCCAGGTCGGTGACATCAAACGCTAGGATACAGCCATCGGAACCTTTGTAGAACGTAGACACCATGGAGCGGAACCGCTCCTGACCGCCAGTATCCCAGATCTGGAGGGGAAAACAACCGCCCCACGGGCAGTGATGAGGCTGGAAGTAAGCTCAGCTGGGTTACACCATGCTAAGGCTTCCTTTGCTGGGTGGCAAGCCCTGGTACAGGTGCACATGGTTCTTTCACACAGGCATCTTGACCCTCCCGCCCACATACACTCCAATACCTTTGGGGTAACACTTAACATCCCGAGAGTAAATTCACATCTGAGCTCTCGTTTTTTCCCTGGGTCAGCAAGGTGGGAACTGTTATTCTCATCTGACAGATCTGGAAACTTGGACCTTGGGAATGTCTTGCCTAAGATCACCTGCCAAGTTTTCCAGAGAACCTGAGACTAGGTGCGGGGTCTCTCAACTCCTGGATTAGTGCTCTTCCTTCTAGATCAGGCATCAGCATTTTTTTTTTTTTTTCTGTAAAGAGCAGATAGTAAATACTTTAGGCTTTGCAGGCCATACTGTCTCTGTATGCCAATTATTACTCAACTGTGCCATCGCAGTGCATAACATGAGAAGTTAATCAATGGGTATGACTGTGCCCCAGTGAAGTCTTAGTTACAAATATAGGAGGTGGACCAGACTTGGCCCATGAGCTGAAGTTTGCCCGTCTCTGCTCTAGACCATTCTAGCTCTGGCACACATTGGCTCTATGAGTAGCTGTCGAGGGGTGGGGGTGATTTTCAGTGTATGTATGTTGAAGAGGGAAAAGGAGGGCTTCTTACCTGTAGCTTCAAAGTTGTGTCACCCAATATAATAATCTTCGAGAGGATGCTTGCCCCCAGCGTGGTCTGGTATTCCTCGTAAAATGTCTTGTGCACATATTGGTGAAGGAGGGAGGTCTTTCCCACACTGAGGAAAATTCCAGACACACGTGAACTCACACATGCAAACACACACGCACATGCTTCCATACTGTTCTCAGAATCTTACCAGGCCCCTCTTGCCACTGTCTCTCCCTGAGATTCGCAATTTCAAATTTCGGTGGTCCATGGACCACAGTTTGAGTAGCAAGGGAGTAGGAAACGGTTTCTAGAAGTAGAAGCCAATCGAAGTGAGCAGTCATCTGGAGACAGTGGAATATCTTACAGTGATGGTCAGGGGTTTTTTTTGTGTGTAGGAGGTGGGAGGACAGGTAGATGCTAAATGACTTGCCTAATTCACACAGCTGGTCACTGCAGAGTCACTGCAGATCTGGGACTAGAAACCATCTATTTCTGTGCAGCTCCTTTCTCCCAACTAAGCTTCTCTTTTCGGGCATGGGACATACTTGCTGGTACCACCCTGAATCAGAAAGGGACCTATGGGGGCTGGGAACACACCAAGAGGTCTCACTGGCCCTGGGTGAGGGGCTGCATCCCAATTCCCAGAGCTGATTTGGCTTACCCAATGGCTCCAACGATAATGAGTTTCAGGTCCACCTTCTTCTGGGGATTCATGGAGGGGCTTCAGAGCCTGTAAGGAAACAGAGGTCATCCACTTGCTGGCCAGTGTTCCTTGCAGCCATTGTCACTGACAGTGGCCTCTGCTTTCCCCTTTTCAATGGGCAAATGACTGCCCTGGGCCCAGGACTGGGTGGGGTGGTTCTTCGAAAGAGGTACATCATTCAGCAATTCTCTTACACCTTCTCCCTCGCCTTCCTTGGCGGCCTCCCCAAAGCTGGAAGGGTGATGACCCTCGAGGACAGGCAAATCTCCCATCCCTCAGCTCTACCAACCCTGCTCTTGGAGACAGCCTGAAGTGCCGAAAAGACAGGACAGGATTGAACAGAGGCCTCACGGACAGCCCAGCGTGGAGCCAGGGGTGGAGGGCCGTGCAGGAAGAAGAGATGGGGGTGGGCAGGACAAGGGGTCCATTGTCAGGACTGCCCAGAGGCTTTGGATGGAAGAAGGCCCCTCCCCCAGCCCGAGGTCTGGCTGCAACTGCAGAATCAAAAGGCTCCTCTCTAATGCAGCTGGCAGGGGTGTAACTGATACATGTTTCTGGAAAGCTATTGGCAGCAAGTGTTGAGAGCCTTAAAAATGTTCCCACCCTCCACTTCTAGGAATTTGTCTTAAAGAAATTATTCGAAATGTGGGTCAAGACTCTTGTTCAAGAGTGTTCTTCACAGTACGGTTTATAAATCTCCAATAATAAAATAGTGGTTAAATCATAGCACACAATGAACGATTAAGCAGTCATTAAATGGAGTTTTTGAGACTATTACAATAATATGGAAAATGCTCATGCCCTAGGATCTAAATAAAAAACAGAAGATGCTAAACTGTACACATAATACCACCTCAATACTTACAGGAGTTCCTACTTGTATAGATGAAGTCCTGGGAAGAAAGGAAAGAAATATATTAAAAATTCCTGCAATTTCACTACAGGATACATAGACAAAGGAAACGAAATCAGTATGTTGAAGAGACGTCTACATGCCATGTTCACTGCAGCACTGTTCACAGTAGCCAAGTATGGAATCAACCTAAGCGTCCATCAGTGGATGACTGGGTTAAGACAATGTGGTACATGTACACAAGGGGTACTGCTCAGTTTTTTAAAAACACAATTTATGACAATATGGGTAAATCTGGAGGACCTTATGTTAAGTGAAATAATCCAGGCAAAGAAAGACAAATATCATATGATTTCACTTATATGTGGAATCTAAAATAATTAATTGAACTCACAGAAGTAGAGAGTGGAACGGTGGTTACCAGGGGCTGGGCTGGGGTGGGCAGCTGGGGAGATGTTGGTCAAAGGATAAAAACTTTCAGTTAGACAGGAGGAGTGGATTCAAGAGATATATTATGCAGCATGGTGACTATCGTCAACAACAATGTATTGTATTCTTGAAAATTCCTACTAGAGTATGTATTAAGTGTTCTCACCACTTAAAAATAAGTATGTGAGGTAATGCAGGTGTTAATTATCTCCATTTAGGCATTCCACAACGTATGCACATTTCAAAACAACATGTCGTGCATGGTAAATGGGTACAATTTTTATCTGTCAATTAAAAATGAAAGTGATTAATTCTGGGTGGTAGGAAATTACATGATTTTAATTTTTTTCTCTTTGCTTTTTAGTACTTTCCATTTTTTAACAACAAATATATGGTTTGGTTTTGTTTTTGAGACAGGGTTTTACTCTTGTTGCCCAGGCTGGCGTGCAATAGCCTGATCTCGGCTGACTGCAACCTCCGCCTCCCGGGTTCAAGTGATTCTTGTGCCTCAACCTCCTGAGTAGCTGGGATTACAGGCATGTGCCGCCACACCTGGCTAATTTTTTGCACTTGTAGTAGAGACAGGGTTTCTCCATGTTGGTCAGGCTGGTCTCAAACTCCTGACCTCAAGTGATCCACCAGCCTCAGCCTCCCAAAGTGTTGGGATTACAGGCGTGAGCTGCCACGCCCAGCAACAAATATGTCTTATTCCTAGAAGAGAAATGTAAATGTATATATATAAGTGTGTGTGTGTATCTTTTTTTTTTTTACAAGGTACAGCAAAACTATTGTAGGAGGCATACCTAACTGGCCCTTTGTTTTACCCATACATGCACACACGCATATGTGCTACCCCCAACTCTTTTGTCTTTAGATGCCCTAAGCATGGTGAGTAAACCTTGATTTGACTCTGCTCAGATGAGGTTTCAAAAGTTGGCCAGCTTGTGTTTCCCCTGGTACTTGGAAAAAGCTGTAAATATGACATCCTGAGGCCTTGGTTCTGATTCTCACTTTGCCACTGTGTGACCCTGGGCCAGTTACTTTCCCTCTCTGAGTATTGGCTGTCCAACTGGAGAATGAGCCAGCTGAGCCCCAAAGACTCAAGATGCCTTCTTGGTGAAAAATGCTTTATCTACTGGAGCTGGAGCTCACTGGTCATGAGAGCTGTGCTTGGGACCCCAAATGGGAAACCCCCAGAGACCTAGGATTGTTAATATCCCCTTCATGAATCATGTCATGGACTGTATTAGTCTGTTCTCATGCTGCTATAAAGAACTGCCTGAGACTGGGTAATTTATGAAGGAAAGAGGTTTAATTGGTTCCACATGGCTGGGGACGCCTTAGGAAACTTACAATCCTGGTGGAAGGGGAAGCAAACACATCCTTCCTTACATGGTGGCAGGAGACAGAAGCACAGAGCAAAGTGGGGAAAAGCCCCTTATAAAACCATCAGGTCTTGTGAGAACACACTATTATAAGAGCAGCAAGGAGGAACCACCCCCATGATCTAATCACCTCTCACAAGGTCTCTCCCTCAACACTTGGGAATTATAATTCAGATTACAATTCAAGATGAGATTTTGGGTGTGGACAAAGCCAAACCATATCATGGACCAAAGGTGATCTGAAGCTCTGCTCAGAGCTGTTTGTCCCAGGAGCTGGAGTTGGAACTTCTGCTCTAACCCAGGAGGGCTGGGTTTGCATGGTGAGCAAAGGGTCTTCTTGATGGTCCATGCATTCATGCAGCAAATGCCTACATGCCTACTGCATGCAAAGCCTTGCATTAGACACTGGGAGCAGCAGAGAGAGGGAGCAAATAGGAACCACCACAGGGAGTCATCAAGGAAGCAAGGGCAGGGGCTGTGTGAGAGACACATAACAGTAGGTCGCTATGCACAATGGTAAAGCGCTCATACAGATAATAAAAGGCAGCATCCTTACCAAAAAATGGGCAAAGAATATGAACAAGTTACCAACTGAAATCTTACTAAGAATTAGTAAGCTTAGGGCCGGGTGCGGTGGCTCAAGCCTGTAATCCCAGCACTTTGGGAGGCTGAGGCGGGTGGATCACGAGGTCGAGAGATCGAGACCAGCCTGGTCAACATGGTGAAACCCCGTCTCTACTAAAAATACAAAAAATTAGCTGGGCATGGTGGTGCATGCCTGTAATCCCAGCTACTCAGGAGGCTGAGGCAGGAGAATTGCCTGAACCCAGGAGGCGGAGGTTGTGGTGAGCCGAGATCGCGCCATTGCACTCCAGCCTGGGTAACAAGAGTCAAACTCCGTCTCAAAAAAAAAAAAAAAAAAAAAAAAAAAAGAATTAGTAAGCTTTTAAAAGATACTCAACTTTACTATCAAGGAAATAAACATTTCACAATACCATTTATTTTCACCCAGTAAAATGGCAAAAATTTAAGAAGATTGATGACAATATTTAGGGTTGGCAAGTGTGTTGGGGAAACAGTCTTGTATATTGTCAATAGAGTATGAATTAGCACAGTCTTTTTAGAAGGCAATTTGACAGTATCAAAACTTAATATGCATACAGCCTAGGTTCTCATTCTAGGAATCTGTCCTACAGAAATACTCAAGCATATGCTCAAATACGTATTTGTACAAAGATGATTGCTAAAGCATTGCTGTAATCTAACTGTCAGTCAGTAGGAGACTCTCTACATAAATTCTGATCCATTAATACTCTGGAACAATTGGCAGCTTTATTATTTATTTATTTATTTATCTATCTATTTAGAGACAGGGTCTCATTCTTTTGCCCAGGCTGGAGTGCAATGGCATGATCATAGCTCCCTGTCACCTCAAATTCCTGGGCTAAAGTGATCTTCCCGCCTCAGCTTCCCAAGTAGCTGGGACTACAGGTGTAAGCCATGATGCCTGGTTGATTTCTTATTTTTCATTTTTTTGTAGAGATGGGGTCATGCTTTGTAGTCCAGGCTGGTATCAAACTCCTGGCTTCAAGTGATCCTCCCATCTCGGCCTCTCAAAATGTTGGCATTACAAGTGTGAGCCACCACGCCTGGCCAAGGGCAGTTTTAAAAAGATGAAATAATAAAGTGGAAAGCTATACGTGATGCTTTTAAGTAAGAAAAAAGAAAATCGTTGAATATTTTATGTAGTGTGATACAGAAAGCCAGAGGTAGATTTACACTAAATGATTCATAAGAGAGATGGGAAAAATAGATTAGAGGCCAAGAGGTATTACTTTATGTCATGTATGTTTTGTTTTAAAATTTGTTACACAAGCATAAGTTGTTTGTGTAATTTAAAAATATTGACCGGGCGCGGTGGCTCACACCTGTAATCCCAGCACTTTCGGAGGCCGAGGCAGACGGATCACAAAGTCAAGAGACTGAGATCATCCTGGCCAACATGGTGCAACCCTGTCTCTACTAAAAATACAAAAATTAGCTGGGCATTATGGGTAACCTGTAGTTCCAGCTACTCGGGAGGCTGAGGCAGGAGAATTGCTTGAACCCAGGAGGCAGAGGTTTCAGTAAACCAAGATAACGCCACTGTACTCCAGCCTGGGCAACAGAGTGAGACTCCATAAAAAAAAAAGATCAAATAATAATTCAACATTTCTTTAAAAAGATATGTGGATGGACGCCCAAAGTAATTTGAGTGTGACTTTCAGGTAGGACAAATTGCTTTTGTGTCTGAGCGAGACAGCAAGTCTGTCAGGTGCCATGGAGTGATCGTGAGTGTGGGACTCAGAATTCTTATCCCGCTCCACACATTTGTGACCTCGGGTGAGTTACTGAACCCTGGGGCCTCTGTTCCCTCAAGGGTAAAATGGGCACCACTCGTGGCTGTGGCTTCCTCTGCAGGTGTGTCATGATCTTACAGCACAACAGGCTCCCCAGCTTGGCAAAGATCCAGATAATTGTTTACCGACTAGGAGAGGGGGTGAGTCTAGAGACCAGAGCCCTGGTTTGTTATGTTTGCCATGGCGACTGCAAGCCACCAGCCTGGAGCCTGCTCCAGCACACTCCTGCAAGGACCTCAAAGGTCATTTATGCCAAGCACTACCCTGTGCTTGAGTCGTCTCTTCCACATTCACGAAAGGTAGAGCCAGACCTGGCCCATGGAGCTGCTTCCTCCTCCTAGGAGTATTTCTCCTGAGGGCCGCACGAAAGTGCTCAAGATCCTTGTAAGTTACCTTGCTTTAACTTTGAGGTCCCACATCCCACCGCCTCCCTGGTTCCTTCCCTTGGACGATCACTCAGGGTGTGCTCTCACTGCAGTTTCCCCTACCCCATCCCAGAAGGGCAGGAGTTTGCTGAAGCTGCTATTTTATAAAAGCCCAGTCCTTGGGCCCAGCATCACTAGGAGCAACAGGACAGTGACTGGGACAGGTCACTGTGGGCAGTGGGGGCGGCTTGTGGGGTGACACAGGCTGGCTTGCCCAGGAGGCACATGCCGATCTCATAGGGCGGTCAGAGTCCCTTTCCAAGTCATCTCTGCTGGCTTTGGCAGTAGCTGTCTTTTTAAGCCTCCTCCCACCCACTCAGCTGACTCAGATACTTCAAACCAGGGAATCCTCCTAGAGGCCAGGCTGAGTCATCCTCTACTGTTAAGTAACAGTGAAAAGCAGGATTGAAATGCAAGACGCTGCCTTCAGCCAGCCCCTGTCTACACAGAGCAGAACTTGCGGTAACTCACTCCCCACTGGAGGTGCCCAACTCTTCCCCCCCCCTTGCCTGGCAGCACGTGCCTCGAGTCCTGGGCCTGCCCATTTGCCAAAGCTACATGGTAGCTCAGCTCCTGTGGAGGAAGAAGGACTGAGTTGCTCCCAAGCCCCAGGGCCTGGGACCAGCCCTCCAAGAACGCTTGGACCCCCTTTGCTCTCACTTCTCCCTTCCTTTCTCTCCCTACCCTGCTGGCTCCAACCTGAAACCAGGCACAGTCTTCTGTCGCATCTGTATTGGGTGGGGTATCACTTCTGCTGGCAGGAAACGAGTGAGCAGGGGCAGGTGAGGGTTCTGAAGCAGGCGGAGTCTCCCACCCCCACTGTACTATCTTCCCTGGCTCTTGTCCACTTTCAGCACCTCCCCTCCCGATCCCATACCTTGGAGAAGGACAAATATACCCACGCTAAAAAAAATAATGGAACCTATGATCTTGGGAGCAAAGTTTGTCTGTGAAAAGAGGCTAGGTAGAGAGCACAGGGCTTTGCTGTCTCCCAGGAAAGCTCACAGCTCCGCCCTGCCCACCTCAACCCTAGCAGGTCTAGACCTGCTCCCTCCAGGAAGCGCACCCACGGCTCTGTTTTCCGGAGGCTCTGTGCTCTTCTTCTTCAAGTTATTTGAGGGAATAGCCTTGTCTCGTCGAGTAGACTGTCCATGCTTGGAGGGCAGGACTGTGCCTCACACCTCTCTGTATCCCACTAAAGAGCCTGACCAATTCTGGGATTCTGGAAGCTTCGATGAACAGCCATCCATCCACTTATCCATTTATCTGTCCAGCATAGGCAGTGCCGCCTACTACACACCAGCACTGTGCAGGTCTGAGGATACAGACAAAGTACTATCTCCATGAGACCTCTGTGGTGAGGGATTGATCTGTAAGCCCAAAGAAATTATTTGTGTTGATACATAATACCCTAGCAGTTGCAGAGGATTTGCAGTTTACGAAACGCCATTAAAGCCCAGTGGATTCCTGCGTCGAGAACAACTAGTTGGCGGTAATCTGGGTAGAATGCAGATCTGCCCGACTCTATTCATGAGCTCCGCTGGCATCGAAGCACTGGGCAAGGAGAAATATTTATGATTTAGAACAGGAGTGATAATTTCCTCCTCCAGGGGCCAAGCTTCGTGTGATGAAACACTTGGGCCGACATGGTGCCATCCCAGAAGGTACCCTGTCAATATCACAAGGGGACTCTGGGTGCCAGCAGGGTTTTGCCCTCCTGCAGGGCTCTAGTTTCTGGCAGATCCTGCAGGCTGGAGGCAGCAGGGCTGCCCTCTTCTGACGGGGCTGGCAGCTGTGTCCTGGGACTGACAGCCCTTGTGGGTCCCCGAGCTGGGCCCCAGCTCTTCGCACAGGCAGGGAAGTCCTTTCTTGCTGCCACACCCTGGGAGTTTCTCTAGTGTGGGGGTCTTTGGGCTGGATCTAAACTCTGCAGCTGCCAGATTGGAAATGTTTATCTTTGCATACCCTGCCTCCACTCCTCCACCCAAACACCCAAATAACTCTCAGGGCTGCGGGGGCAGACAGGACTGAGACTCCCAGGCACTTACAGCTGTGGCTGTGTAGCACGCGGCCTCCGCTCCCAGGACAGCTGGGAGTCCTCTCTCAGTCTGGGCTCTCTTCTTAGAGCAGTGGTCTCAGCAGGGCCAGGGAAAAGGCTTTGTGATAAAGACAGGCAAAAAAAAAAAGTCTGTTGAAGCCACGCCACTTCCCTCTGAGTTTTCCTCCTCTCGCTCTCATGCACAGACTTGGGAAAGTTGCAAAAGAGGCTGGGCCGGGTGACCTCAGCTGTGTGGGTGGAGGGGGTGGAGTGGAATGGAAAAGCTAGGCTCCAGAGCCGACCGGATTTGAGGTCCTCAGGAATTTCATTTACAGGGACCCTGGCCCATGGTGATGAGGGTTGGAGCTGTGGGTCAGGGGGCCTGCAGGGTAACATGCCCCATTGTGGGCACCATAAAGAGCCTCAGGTTGGCTTTAGAAGCTTTTGCTTCTACTGCTGGAAGCCACCCAGTAAAGGGGCCCCTTTGTTTTCGTTGAGGTTTTAGATACACATGGGTAGAAGATTCAGTCCTACCCCCAGCCTGGTAGGAAGAGGTTTTGATCTTCATGCCTTGCCTTTACCCCAATACCTGTACACACACACACACAAACACACACACACACACACACACACACACATACACACACACTTCTCTCCCACTCCAACACATAGCACACACATAAATAACATAGTACATGCCACATGCCACACACACTACACACTATACACACATACACACTCCTCCCCCACTCCAACACGGTACACACAAATAACACACATACATGCCACATATCATACACACTACACACACACCACACGGGCACACCACAGACAAATAACACCCATACATACCAACCACACACAATAGACACACCACACATACACACCACATACACCACACACAAATAACACACACATCACACATGCATTACACAAACACACCATACACATACCACACATATACACCACACACACACCACACATATACACCGCAAACGCCACACATATATACCACATACTACACACATACCACACGCTACACACAAACATCATACATACGTATTACATACCACACACAACACACCACACGCACACCACACATACCTACCACACACAACACACACTACACAAACACACCACACATACATACCAAACAGAACACATACACTACACCACATACAGCACACATACATGCCACACACAAACATTACACATACATACCACACACAACACACACTGCACAAACACACCACACATACATACCAAACAGAACACATACACTACACCACACACAGCACACATACACACCACACACAAACATTACACATACATACCACACACAACACACACTACATAAACACACCACACATACGCACCATACACAAATACCATGCCTATGTACCACAACACAAAAAAATACAAACACCCCACATACACAGCCTGCATACATACCACATACAACATACACACAACACATACACCACACACAGACACCATACATGCATACCACACACACACACTACACGTATACACACCACACATACATGTCACACGCAATGCACATACTACACAAACACACCACATACACACCACACTCAACATGCATACACATTCACACACAGAAACAACACACGTGCATACCACACACAATATACATGCACACGACACACAAACAACATTCATGCATATCACATGCAGAAACAACACACATACATACCACATGCCACACACACAAACAACATATATACATACCACAGACAACGCACATCACACAAACACATCACACACACCCATACGCCCCTCCACGACACATCCATACATTAAACCCCACACCAGGCTTGTGAGATGTGAAGCAAGTCCAGACGTCTCCTCTCGAGTGAGGATTATGACCCAGCCTGAAGTACCCGGGAGACCATAGCAATTTAAGACACTGCTGGCAAGTGGCTAATTTGGTATCTCTTTGAGCTGCCTGGAACTATGCCTGGAATCGCTCTGACTGGCGGATGAAAGGAGAAGTGAGTTTAGGCAAGCCTTGGCTGGGGATGTCAGGCCTCGCTGGAGCCCCTCGGGGCACGTGATGCATTGGGTGCCCCCTTCCGTCCCCACATCTCTTGTGAGGTGGGATTTTGCCTCCTTGGGGCGCGTTCTTGGTCTAAGAATCCTCTCGGTCAGGGAGTTCTTCCTTGTGCCCAACAAAAGTCTGCGTCTGCTCCGTAGCTACTGTCTGTGTCTCATTTGGCCGATTACACTGCACAGTGCTCAGTAGGGCTGCGCACGCGAGTGTCCTCGCATCCCGCACTGGGCAGCTTGTGGTGCCAGGTACAGGTCTGGCCTGTGTATGTTGTGTGTGGCTTCTTCAGTGGAAGAAAAGTTGAAGCTTATTTCCTTGTTCCAATTAGCAAATGTGCCTGGAGGGAGGAGGCAAAGGTTTCCATGGGGAGCACACACGGAAGCTGGAAAGCCTCTGCTCCAGATCACGCTCACCCCAAATGTCCCAGTCGGGTGGCTTGGGAAAGTGGGCATCAGGCCACCCTCAGGCCAACCAGTAATTCTTGATGACTGACTTATTCTTAAACTGTTGCCCTTTAGAATTTCCCCCAATAGTCTTCTACTTTTTTCTGAGGCCAGGTTTTAAATGAACACGTGTGTGTGAGTGAGTGTGTGTGTATGTGTGTGTGTGTGTTTGAGAGAGAGAGAGAGAGAGAGAGAGAGAGAGAGACAGGATTAGATAGTGAGCCCCCACAGAGGTGTAGAGGCACATTTGACCCTCTTTTGGAGAACACATGGGAGTCCCCGTGGGCCCGCTGCTGCCGAGGGTGCTTTGGGAATGGGAAGTGAACTGTCCATGCTGGTCCTCACAGCCTTTGCGCATGGGACTGAAACTGGTACTTTCAGGTCTATTTGCAGAACTATCCTAACACCTTTGGAAGCCAAGTCGCCAGCCACCCCCAGGCTGTAGTCCCTACTTCCTCCAGCCACGTGGATGAAAAGGCAGCAACTTCCCTTCTGTTCCTGTGACACATGCTCTAGAGGAGCATGATCGCAGCGTCGGCCCTGCAGAAGAGGCCCTGACGCCACATTCCCTCCCTGCTTCCTTTCTTCCCTCCTGCAGGTGTTCATTCAATAAGCCTGTCAGATCCTTTCAGGGGTGCAGAAATGGAGAATTGCATTTTATCCGCTGAAATAAAGCATGGGGCAAATAATGGCATAAGAAACGCAGCTTAAGGGCTGTGGGGATTTAGAGGAGGGAGAGATTAGTTCTAGTTAGGAGATGTCAAAGAGGGCTTTATGGAAAGAAGGCATTTGAACTGCAGCTTGAAGGATGCTGAGGGCAGCATGTGCAGATGTGTGGTGAATGGAGCGGAGAGTCAGGTTCAATATGCAGAGCAGTGATGTGGGGCCAGGGAGAGAAGATGCTGAACCTCTGGCTGGCAGAAGAGACCGTACAGGAAAGGCTCCAAGTCATAGCTGAGTACCTTCATGGTTCATCAATGGGCTGAGATTGCAGTCTCGTGTCTCACAGCACTGTGTCTGACAGCTTTTCACTGTTATCTTAACACTCATTGAAAGGGGGTCATTTTGGGGAAACAGCATGTTCCTCTGAAGAACAGAGGGGAAGAAATCCTGAGACTAAATGTACAAGTAAGAATATTGGAATGATTCCGTTTGGTGCAGGGTAGACTAGACGTCCAGGGAGAACAGGTGGTCCAGCTGAGGCAAGGCCCTGGAGAGCCCTGAAAGTTGTGTCAGCTTGGATTGCATTTGGCATGCAGCAGCGGGTCATTGTAAAGTGTACAGCAGGGGAAGGGTGTGATTAGAGCTGGGCTTATTTACCTGTAGCGGGAAATTAGAGATCTGGAGAGACCGATGGGGTTGCAGGAGGATTTTATTTAATGCGATTACAGGCTCGGTGGAACCACTTCCTAATTTTGAGCAAAGTACAAGGAAAATGGCGTGTCATTTATGCACCTAGTTGGTACAGGATGAGGAAGCCAGAACAAAGAAGTTAATTAACTTGTGACATGTTTTGTAATGGACTTTACATTGGAAAAGTAACATTTTAAGAAACACATTTCGCAGTCTTGAGCGTATTTGCTTTGTGACCTTGCAGCTGGTGATGAAGAAACACAGGAACTTTTAGATGCCTGGAAACTTTGCTGAGAATGTGGGAAAGATAGATAAGACTAAATGGTTTACAGGGATCGTCTAGGAAGCATTTTTGCCACAAAACCATACCTCCAGATCTAACTACTATTTTATAGGAAAGATAAGTTCAGAGAACCATGTTAAATGACACCTTGGGATTTCAGCCAGCACAGTTTCAAATGCGCTAAACACTTCAATTGGAAAGAGACTTACAGACATTTCAAATAAATGCAATTTGTGGGCCTTGCTTAAATTCTGATGCAAACAATCCCACTATAAAAACAGCCAAACATTTATGAGAGTGAGAGAAGCTTGAATTCCAACTGTATATTTAAGGATATTAGAAATATTTATGGACAAAATTATGTAATGCTTGAAATTTGCTTCAAAATAATCCAGGTACATACAGTATATGGTGCTGGAGAGAGGAGTGGGCAGCAGTGTGGATAAAACGGGCCTGGCCGTGTGTGGACAGGTTGTCAGAGCTGAGTGGGGTTGCATAGGGATTTATTACACCATGATCTCTGCTTGGAGATTTTCATAACCAAACGTGAAAATTTTTGATTTTCTTAAAAATCAATAAAATATATGGATATACATCTTAATTCCTCCATCATGACAGTGGTGGGAGTGGTGTGTATGTGTGAAGTGTGTGTGAGGCTGTGAGTGTGTGTGTGTGTGTGTGTGTGTGTGTGTGTGTATTCTCATGTTCTGTTTGGTCTTAGTTCAAGTTGCAACCCTGGAAACAGCTACATTTTGTGGAAAATAACTTTTTATAAGTGTAAAGAATGTTTCAACCTAACGGATTCAAGGGGTGTCAGACAGGCAGGCACAGACCCAAGGCCCCTCCTTAGGGGACTGCAGGGGCCAGTCCCACACGGTTATTCCCACGGTCAAAGACAGAGTAAAACTGTCGAATGAAGACATCCCCCAGGATCCAGAGGGGCCCAGCTGGAGGGTGGATGTCAAGTCCTTGAAAGCCGCTGCTGCAGAATTCCATTCCATCCACGAAGTCCTGGGGTGGGAAGAAAGGATGCCAATGACAGACAGG